AGAGAGAGAGAGAGAGAGAGAGAGAGAGAGAGAGAGAGGGACTGAAGTGGTTACATCTTGAGCCAAAGTATCGAGGTAGATATTTGGCTTGGTGCATGGCAAAAGAACAACAGACACATAATTCAGTCGTTTTTTAAAATTATGTTTTTTCTGCTTTCTCGGATACTGAATATTATTTAAGTTGTGATTACCTGTATTTTGTGCCTGCGTTTGTGTTTAGTAGATATGTTTCCATAATTTTTACATAATAACATGTTTGAATAAGTACAAATATTAAATAAGTATACTAAATGATTCATTTTTATTGAACCACGAGACTCAAATTTAAATTAGCATCCTGTATTTGGGCGTTTTTGTTCTCGTTCAGACTGCTTCTTTGTTTCCTGCCCATTGTGTCATACATGTACATACTTTTGAGCGTTCTGTTTACATGAATATCAACATCATACATGTTTCAGCTTGTCCCTGCTATTCTATGTCAAATGGGCAGTCTACATGTACTCGTGGGTTCTACTTCTATTTCACTGTCATTTTTGCCCCTCCCCACCCCAACCCAATCGGACCATTTCGTATCTTTTTCATGTGTTCCATCCTCCCCCGCAATTTCCCCTGCCTAAATTATAGGAAAATTTTGTGGTTAAAAACCGTTAAATCTTTTCAAGTATCTTTTTTATCGTCTTGAACGACAACTCAACGGATTTTTAATGTTTAGTTCCTTTTTTATTTATTGCTTAGCTTGGACACGCACCCATCTTTAATATAAAGGGATGCCATCTATAAAGACTCCCACCCGGATGAAGGGAGAAGCTAAATGAGGCATGCATTTGGGGCTAGACATCTAGACAAACGCAAAAAAGGGACTCCGAGATCTTTTTAAAAAACTAATACAGTTGGCACTCGTTCTCATGGGGGGATCATTCGGAATTTTTCCCGTTGAGAATAAGAACAAAACTGTTTCTGGCGGGTGTGTGTGTATGTGTGTGTGTGTGTGTGTGTGTGTGTGTGTGTGTGTGTGTGTGTGTGTGTGTGTGTGTGTGTGTGTGAGAATGTAGGGCGGGGTGTGAGTATGAGTGTGTGAGTCTGTGTGTGTGTCTGTGTGTGTGTGTGTGTGTGCGAGAATGTAGGGCGGGGTGTGAGTATGAGTGTGTGAGTCTGTGTGTGTGTGTGTGTGTGTGTGTGTGTG